CACACCCGTCGGCCGTGGCCATGACACGACGGGGACCACAGTTGCCAGTTCCTCCTGTGCACACGGCATATACGGATCAGGTCACACCCGTCGGCCGTGGCCATGACACGACGGGGACCACAGTTGCCAGGTCCTCCTGTGCACACGGCATATACGGATCAGGTCACACCCGTCGGCCGTGGCCATGACACGACGGGGACCACAGTTGCCAGGTCATCCTGTTCACACGGCATGTACGGGTCAGGTCACACCCGTCGGCCGTGGCCATGACACGACGGGGACCACAGTTGCCAGGTCATCCTGTGCACACGGCCTATACGGATCAGGTCACACCCGTCGGCCGTGGCCATGTCACGACGAGTACCACAGATGCTGGCCTCTCTAGGCGCACGGTGTCGTGGTCAGCTAGATACCCGCCTCTCTCCGTCACGCCCACTTTTATAGCGCCCGTCGAACGGTCCCCCCCTATCCCGTCTCCTCGTGGCCGTTCTACCTAGATTCTCCCCCCCCCGCAGCCTATCGCTGCGCCCACCTGTCATCCTGCGTCCGTCTCCTGTCGCTCCGTTGATGTTGTCCTGTTATTCCGTACACCAAACCGAGCACTTATATCGCGTTCGTCGCGCGCGCCGCGCGAGAAACACTCCGCGCACCCCTTGTACACCGCGGCTCGGCTCACACTGCGCGTGTTATCGGCCGACCACGGCGGGGCCGCCGCGGTTCTGTTTGTTCTTCTCCACCCTTCTCGTTATCGCCCCCCCCCCCTCCCCCTCCCCCTTCCCTGGACCCCACTGGCTCGGTGTCGCGTCGTGTCACCTCGGCCCGCTAATCACGATTCAACGTCCCGTTAATGCTTGATTGGCCTAGCCATTGCGGAGTTACTTTATGTGGAACAATTTCGACACCCCTAAGTTGGCACGTGGCACGTGCCGTAACATTAACTAAGATGAAGAAAATCGGGCGAAATTCGGAGAAGAGGGAATAAGCCTACCAAATATGTATGACGTATTGTCAAACTGCTGTACCATTGCGAGGTAAATGACCACATAAAAGGTCGTACAAGCCAATCGGACTGGGCGTTTCAATACACACCGTACTTTACGCATTTTATTTTCGTTATTACCTAAAGGCTGCTTGACGTTTTTGGCTTTCAAGCATTTAAGACATTTTTTGTCCTCTCAGGTCCAGTAAGATTACCTCCAACTCGTGGGAATATGCACTTCAAGCCAACTAACACACCACACCCACGTGTGTCATATAATGCTGAGAGATGGCGTTCACTCGGCTAGCTCCTAACTTACGATAATTCTCTCGCTAGATGGCAGGCCTGATCCCAATGTCGCGGATCCCAATGTTAATTTCCACGAGACACCAATCCAGTGTTATATCATACATGTACTACCTATACTTGTGTTGGCGACGCTTTCGTTCGAATCTCCTTTCATGGTGTGGACTGTATTTAATCGCGCATCGCACAGCATTTGGTTGTTTGGTGACCGAGATCCAGGAGGAAAATGGTTTAATTGGAAAATTGGGAAAATAAATGTTATAACCTATCACGTTAGCCTAGTTAAGATACAACTAAATATTGGATACAGGATAGAGCGCCGGATGCCGACGACTAAGGAACCTCCTTCTTAGGAAGTATATTTGGACCTAATAAAAGAGCGCCGGATACCGACGGCAAAGGAACCCCCTTCTTAGGGAGTATGTTAGGGCCTAAAATATGAGAGCGCCGGATACCGACGCCAAAGGAACCCCCCTCTCAGGGAGTGTGTTAGGGCCTAAATATAGAGCGCCGGATGCCGACGACAAAGGAACCCCCTTCTTAGAGAGTTTTAGGAATGTTTTAGGATGAAAAAAGGATAGTCAGTAGACCTGGTCACCGGAACCGATACGCCTGCCGCATCTCCGTCGAATATCTCATCTGTGTGTAGACCGCGCACTGTTTCACTTCTCACTCGGGCTTCTCACACACTTTGTCTTCTAGTTCACTATATTTGGCGGACAAGGCAGCGAAACGTACCGGGAAGAGAGCGGGGCAGCGCAGTGTCCCCGTCGAAGTCGAAAGGTGAAGTGAGGGCCGGGAGTGTTTACAACTAGTTTATATACGGCGACAGGGGGTGAAACAAGACGCGTTGAGGACGGTCAGAGCACACAGAAAAGGCTAAAAATGGCCCGGGCGTCCAGCGCTCCACCCGGAAGACACACAAGCTGGGCGCGCACGTGCGTGCCCCACACAATGGCCCGGACCTGGGCCGGTCCTACGCAAACAGGGAGCCGCCCTGCCGCGCCGGCCGGCCAGCCGGGTCAGAGGGGACGCCAGCGTCCCGCGACCGCGGACGGCGCTCGGCTCGGCGGCGCGGCGGCGGTTCGGCTCAGCAGCGCTGAGTCTGTCGCCCGTACCGCCTTGCATAGGTGCAATTTGTCGGCAACACTTGTGTCTACAGAGATACATCGGACACAATAGATCAATTTGCACAACCGGGTGTACATATGTTTAGTTCCTATGGATGACATCTTATGCTCATGTCGACCTATTTCTAAGGGTGAAATCCCATATTGGACTAAGGCCAAATTTTCCTACATCTCTGTTCATGTATGGATCTTTTTCTTTTATTTCTATTGCTTGCTACTGCCTGCTACTGCTTGCTACTGGAAAAAGAGAATCGTGCGCGAAGCAATAGAAATAAAAGAAAAAGAAAAAGATCCATACATGAACAGAGACTTAGGAAAATTTGGCCTTAGTCCAATATGGGATTTCACCCTTAGAAATAGGTCGACATGAGCATAAGATGTCATCCATAGGAACTAAACATATGTACACCCGGTTGTGCAAATTGATCTATTGTGTCCGATGTATCTCTGTAGACACAAGTATAGGTAGTAGGTATCCATATAGAAGATTGGTTGCACTACTTGTTATGTAGAGGAACATGCAAGCTAAAAGACCGTGTCAGTTTTTTGGCAAGTGATATATTTTTGAAAAATGTAACCCGTCTAGGGAATAATTTTGGTGTGTGGTTGGTTTTTCAAATATGTAATTGTTTTTATTTTGTCCAGTGACCAAGGGTGAGCAACATCATCCGAAATATATGGACTTGTGAGTTATATATTATTATCCCAGAGAATAATCCGAAAAGTGACTATACATAACTAATTTCCTGAGAAAAAATGACTTTAAAACAACAAATTTCAACTCTATCTGTAAGAATTTACGAGTTTGACACTTGCTGACACGATTTCTAATGGTCATGCTAGGCTAGTCAGAAATAACCTAAATTTGATGTTATACTCTCAAACTCTAGGCGCAGAAAGGGTTAGTGGATGCGCTGCAAGCATGACGGCTTTGTACAGTTTCAAGACTTGTCATGGCCTTGTATCTCGAGCTTGCCTTGAATCCAAAGCCAAGTCATCATCAACAATGCATGCCACTCATGCGAAGTTGTTCATAACTACACCTTTTTTCCTTCAGTTGAATTGGAGTTGGAGAAAAGGTTGGAGCTCAATTTGAAAGGATGCATTTCAATTTGAAAGAGGCATCAATTCAAATTGAATGACATCTTTTCCAAATTGAAATGCATCTTTTCTTCAAACTGAACTCCAACTTATTCAAACTGCAGGAAAGAAGGTGTACATACATAGATGTATAAGAGACGGCCGATTAGGACCTCGCCAACACTCGGAGCTCGTGCTCATATCTTATTTATAATTACAATTGAACGGGAGGCATCCACAGTTGCTCCTCTGATTGCTGCTCAGCTCGTCGGGAGGCGGCGGCGGCGCGGAGTTCAAAGTGGTTACGTTCACTGTCTATATACTCTGTGTTGAGTTGTCCGGATGGTCACAGCTCGGTTTTTGCGTTTTTTTTTTTGTCTGTTTTGCCATCTCACTCACCCACCACTGATATTTCTTATATGCTTTTACACATACGATACTCGTAAATATGTCGGGTATTTCCACTACATGCCTTTTTCCCAGTAGGTTCCCAAGATTTCCCTTTAGTTGGGAAATTTTTCCGGGGGAGGACACACACGACAGGGATTAGCAATGTGGAGACACTATTACGCCTTGTGGGGGGGGGGGGGGCAGCGGCAGCAGCCCAATAGCAGAGCGTTCTCTATGGGGACTTGTTTAAACCTTTATGCTTTTTTACCGTGTACGTACATAACTTTGGGGTTGAATGCACCAATAGCCCTGTTTGTACTCTGTACATACAGCTACGGGTTTTTCCTATGAGGGGCTTGGGGTGTGGGTGTCACGCAATGTTTTTTTTCCACAGAGTCGTCAAATTGTGTCGTTAATGTTTGCTGGCAGCTCGAAGGAGGAGCGAAAAAAAATGTTTAAAAACGATTCAGCCTTTTAGTGTGTGAGCGTAACGCTCCAGCTAAAATCACGTTTTTGAATTTCAGAATGGAGCGGTCGTGATGTGATAGGCCGCGATGATTCCATCCAGGACGCCAGAGTCATTTTGACCCCACGCTCCAACCGCCTTACGTATGCCCACTGCAGGCTCCGCATATATATCGAGGAAGCCCTACAGTTGTTTAAAGAAAAAAGGAAAAAAGATATGAAGTCGAGCAATAGCGCTCAAAAGCAAGGATCAACACATGACGCCGTTACACATAATGGCTGATAGCGGCTTTTCCAGCACAACAGCAGCGGTACAAAACAAAGCGGGGCAAGTGGCCACGCAGATCACTATCTCACACGATGTCGCTCCTGTTTTTAGCCGTCTTCAACCGCACTTATTTTAGCCGTCAGATATGGTACTAATGGAGGGACTTGTGGGTTTTGAACATCGAAGTTGTAATACGACCTAGTCTTTTTTAGAAATGCCACTCAATGTCACACTCACACACTCACACTCACCTTAAGCCTCTATTTCTGTATCCCAGATAATCTCTCTTAGCTAAAAACGTCTCGAAAATCCCAACAAAACTTGTGACTTCGATATCTCTGGAGGTATATAAGGGCGACGTCGCTTTGCTGAGGTCACACTATCTCCGAGAGAACCTGTGGTATCGTATCGATAAGTTGCAGTAGTGCAGTATCGGCTGCAATCATGTTGTTCTATTTGTTTGTGGCGCTTGTGGCCATCCATTCTGTCTCGGCGGCCGACGAGCCGATGGATCTCAAAAGAGTGCAAAGAGGAGCACTGTACATCAGGCTGCCAGCACGTAAGTTAAGACTGAAGTGTGTATAGTTTGTCGATTGGGGATGTTTTTCATATGATTCGCCGAGCTTATTTTCTCGCCAACTTGCTTCACATGGTACTTGTTCTCGCTTACGTGAACATTTTCTCACTTTTTCTCGCTTACGATTTAGTGTTTTAATTGGCATGAAAATGCTTTTTGCCATTAGTTGTCTTGATAACAGCGTACCGGATGTAAATTACATGCATGGTTTAACGGAAAAACGATTCGTTTTTAGCATACTCAAGCAACATGTCGCAGTGTCACGACACTCAAACGGATGAGTACTACAACGAAGGGGACTTTTGGTCATCCAAGTACTCGGGATGCAAGCTCAGCACCTGCGTCAACATCAATGGCGTTCTGAACGTAGAACGCTACTCGTAAGTTGTCTCTTATCATTGGCATACACTTCATGCATCATAAAAAATTGCCGCGGTAAACAAGGTGCCATACACAAGAGCAAATGGTTAAAATTTTGTCAAAGCAGTGGCAGTCTTATGAATACTCTAATGACTCGCATTAAAGGAGAGCTGGCCAAAAATGTCCAAGGTGAAGAGCTTTAGGTAAATGTCTTATTTGCTCAATATATGTATTTAAGATGTAGCAATATAAATGGTTGGTTTCCTGTTACCGATTCAATATTGCATCAAGATGTTTTAACTTATCAGCGAAGTTGAGAAGTGGTTAAGTGGTAGCAAGTACGCACATACGCACCACGCAGCGCACTGAAACGTCTGTTTTCCTTTGCAGTTGCCCGCGAATCACCAGAAATGTGGATTACAACATGATGAGACAGGAGAACTACTTCTGCCACCAAGCCTGGGGCAACCGGAACAAGGCATTTCCCCTCTGCTGTCCCAGTCTTGCCTGCAGACACTATGTGAAGGGGAGGATGATGCCGCTGCCCAAGCACATGTATCCCTACAAGAAGATCGAAAGCTAGATTTTGTTGCATCGCGCTGCTGCTTCAGCAATATAAGATTATTGTCAGGAATGGGAAAAGTCCCTAGCTAAGGTTACTGCTAGGAATATGTCTCTTGCGTGTGCACGAGAAGCTCTTATTGGCTAATGTGTGTATGCTTCTAATGATAAGGTCAATACATGAAATTGCTTCTCATAAATATTTTGATGGCTTGTTATGAGTATAGGTATGAAATATAGAAGCATATCGCTTACATCGAATATGTAACGACGTAAATATTCTTACTAGCATGGAATGAAAATCTAAAGGCCAAGGCTGCGGGAGACTGTTGTCTCATTAGTATCAGGCATTTTGCAGATTGCTTAGGCATTTTGCAAGAGCTCTACGCTCATACATGCTGTTGTCATACCTAGATCACGTGCCATCAACTATCAATGAATAAGAGGAATGAGTAATGACATGACTTATGGGCTTCCACTTTTTCTACGCTGCGTTGAATATACACGGTTTCAAGATTTAACTGCAGTTTAATTTGTTTCCCTCTGTTGATAACACGCAGACCGGCACACTTAACTGGCCGCCATACTTAGCACACTTCAACATGTTCATGCATTTTTCAGCAGAATTATGGATTTTAATACCCAGGTCGCTCAAGGTGAGGTCACCAGGTCACGTCAAGTGATCTTACCTCAGAAAAATTAGAATGCTTTTCCGCATAGCTGCATCGACTGAACGATCGCTTTGAAGCTCTCAGCGATCGATAAATATGACAGTGCGTATAAAATGTATATCTTTGAGTCTTGATATCGGTGACCTAAGGACAGGTCAGTTTTGCACCCTCTCCATTATAAGTCATTGGAAGAAAAGTGCAAAAGGTGCCTGTTTCGGACGAACGTTGAACTTATGAGGCATGCTAGAGCGATGGAAACGTCTTAAGGCTGAAGCAGACTCTTTCTGCATGCAGGAAATTGCATCAATCACATGCGGGAGGTGTGGGCGATTGATGCGAGCGTGCTTCCATGTATTCGAATAGGCTCTCGCATGCGATTTCCTGACTACGGAAAGAGTCTGTTTCAGGCTTTAGATGTGTTCGGCTCGACGATACGGATCGACTGGTCTGCAACATGATTTTTCCTGGTCAGGTCATGATCTTGACTCGATCGTGAGATTTTTAAAATGGCCTTTCAAGGTCAAATTAGGGAGAGAAAGGGAAAGAGAGAGAGGGGGGAGAGAGATACCTATTCTTATATGTATTTACAGACAGGGAGTCCAAAAAAGACATATGCACTTAATAAGGTAGGTATGTACTCGTCGCATATATCGCCATTATAGCATCATCGCATCATCGCATCATCGCATCATCGCATTAACCCATTCGACGCGTCTTGACGACAGGACACAATGCTGGTAGAGCAATTTGTTGTCTTTCTTTAGTCAAAAGCTATGCAAGAAAAAAACATATTTTGATAAAAAAAAACGGTTATTTAAGAGTTTTTGCTCTCTGGAGACTAAACCGTTGTTCTTGGGTCAAATCCGATGTCAAAATCAAATTTTCTCCCGAGTTATGCGCCGTTTTGTAAAAAAATGAAATAGACAAACTTTAATCTTCGATGACCTCCATTGACCTGATCTCTGACCCGACCTAAAGAAATGAGGACAAAAAAAGACTAATTATATTCATGATATTTGACGCTCTTTTGAATGCCGCCTGCTCCGTGTTGTAACTGCGTGACCCTTAAGCCGAGTTAGGTGTGTGTGTGGGGGGGGGGTCAACCACCCCCGGCCCCGGCGCGGTTGGCGCCGAGTATCGTCCCGGGGCGGAGTATGACCAATGACCATAATTATCCAATCACATGACTAGATTTGCTTTTGAATTTATGCACCTTTTGTGATCTAGCCTAGCTTACACAACTACCTTTGATTTAGAAATACGAAGCACATATAGGCTCCCTTCCCGCAGGATACATATGTACGTTTACCATATATTTATAAGCGTGCATACCATTAGTGCGGCATACCCCCTACACACAATAAAGTGGATCACTGGGTAGGTATTCCATTATTGGCTTGATGTGAATCGTGAAACTATTCTCTCACAATATGATATACAGGAATTTTAAGTCTCTACTCAATGAACCATTGAACTATAAAATAATCCAATTCTGCACACCAATCTAAATTCAGTTCTAAAATCTACAAATTACAGCTGAAGATTACAAGTCGCAAGCTTAGCTCTCCTTTTAGAAACATGATTTTCCAGTCACATGGCGGAGGGACATTTAGGACGAATTAACACATCCCGCTACGTCCAAAATCGATAAAGTATTAACGCTTTCGTTTTAACCCTATTCCTGGCGGGGGGCCTCAGGAGCCCCCCTGAGGTTTTTTGGTTATTTCTCCCAAACGCGTTGAGCTAGGAAGCTCAAATTTTCTGACTTTTCCTAAAAGGCTTCTACGCAACATGTCTGAAAATTTTGAGTTGATCTGACCTCAGGTCAGGTCACCAGAGGCGGTTTGGTGACCCTACCTCAGAAAAGTTTGCAATCACGCCAGAGCTAGAGTTTTTGACCGATCAATTTCTTCTCTTCAGGCTTTAGTTAAGGTACCAGTATGTGCAATTTGTATATCTCGGAATTTTGATATCGGTGACCTAAGGTAGGGTCAGTTTCGCGACCTCCCCATTATAAGTCAATCGGGGAAAAATCAACTCCCTGTTTTTACCACTAAAACGGGCCGGAATGGCCCCATATACCATACATGACTTCATATACGATCAACCTTCACTACCTTGAGGTCTGTTTTGCTGTTGGGCAGCTGTGAGGTCATGTGACGTCATCAAAGGTCACCAAAGGTTTTTGGCCAATAACTCCGTACAGGAACAAGATACAGACGCGTGGATGGTCTCATTGTGTTCAGCTCGTCAAGACGCATCGAATGTTATACATGATGACCTCGAGGTCACGTGACCTGAGGTCAACCTTTGACCTTGACCTTTCGAGGTCAACATATATATCATTCGATGCGGATTGATGAGAGGATCACGATGATGCCCTTAGTTTGTTCCTATATTGACTAGTTCGAAAGCTATTCGAGAAAAACTCTCTCCATACCTAGCGCCGCCATTTTGACTTTTTGACCCCTGTGACGTCATCTTTGACCTGACCTGAAAATGACCTTTGTAAAAATTGTAGATCTTGACCGTGCGTATCCGATGCCGTTTACCGTTTGTCGCTGCGATGTGTAGTTTTTTAGATCTGAAGGGGGGGCCGAATCGGCCCCCCCCGCCAGTTTCTTGTCCCGGCGGAGCCCGCCAGGAATAGGGTTAACACGCGCACCGACGGGGGGGGGCGGAATATCCCCCCCTGAGGTTTTTCGCGAATAGCGGGAAAACCGCGGCGCTACCGCGAAATTTGGTACGACTATTCTCTCATCAATTTTACACATGGTGTGCAAGTTTGAACCTCCTAACTTTTAAGGTCAGGTCACCAGGTCACTTTGAATGACCCAACCTCAAGTCACTTTTTTGCAACTTTGTCACCGTGCCAGAGCTACAGTAGATGTCGGAGGCCTTTGAAAGTCGCAGGATGTTATAAGGTCATTATTAGCTACAATTTGTATATCTCGGAATTTTGATATCGATGACCTAAGGTCAGGTCAATTTCTCGACCTCCCCATTATAAGTCAATGGGGGAAAAATCAACTCCCTGTTTTTACCACTAAAACGGGTCGGAATGGACCCATAAACCATAAATGACCTCATATACGATCAACCTTCACAACCTTGAGGTCTGTTTTGCTGTTGGGCAGCTGTAAGGTCATGTGACGTCATCAAAGATCACCAGCGGTTTTTTTGACAATAACTCCGTACAGGAACAAGATACAGCCACGCGTATGGTCTCATTGTGTTCAGCTCGTCAAGGCGCATCGAATGATATACATGATGACCTCGAGGTCACGTGACCTGAGGTCAACCTTTGACCTTGACCTTTCGAGGTCAACATATATGTCATTCGATGCGGATTGACGAGAGGATCACGATGCTGCCCTTAGTTTGTTCCTATATTGACTAGTTCGAAAGCTATTCGAAAAAAAAAACTCTCTCCATACCTAGCGCCGCCATTTTGACTTTTTGACCCCTGTGACGTCATCTTTGACCTGACCTGAAAATGACCTGAGTAAAAATTGTAGACCTTGTCTGTGCGTATCCCTTGCCGTTTACCGCTTGTCGCTATCTTGCTTCGTTCTCGAGATCTCAGGGGGGGCGGTCATCCGCCCCCCCCCCCCCCCGTCGGTACGAAGTTAGCGCAGACCCCCGTCGGTGCGCGGGTTAAAAAAAAACGCTTAGCAGCGTTAATGAAAAAAGGGATGTTTACCTGCACACCAGAACATTACAAAGCAATATTCATGGGTATTTTGAATATTGGAAAACCTCTTCGGGACTATGCCCCATTCCTCCGCCCTTCTTAAACCGTCCCATACCTCCTTTCTGGCCTCACCAATGCTGCTACCAATGACGAGCCCACGTCTATACGCATTTGAGTGGAAAATAACAGCGTATTAGGTACGTTGTTTATCTTCCCAAAAAGTTTGTTCGGTTTTCTTCGTTTTCTCTAACCATGGAATGCCAATACTTATAACAGAGAACAGTCGCAGTGGTCACCGTCATTGTTTTGACACAACTGCTCATTTTTGGGGACAGGTTCGCGACGCCGAGAGCAGATTAAAGTCCACTCTCCAGAAGCATGGATAATCCTCTCATCCCAAAATGTCCCCGTAAATCCCAACCGCCACCTAAAAACAGTGCACAGTGTGATCGTATATAAGACGATTCAGCGCCACTGCAATCATAACCCAACCAGAGAGGCTCCTGTGCACACCCTAGCACCGTGAATTTGATACCATGCTGTTCTATTTGCTGCTCACGCTCACGGTGCATCAGTCGGCCGCGGCTGACGAGCCGATGGACCTAACAAGAGTCTCCAGAGGAGCGCTGTATATCCGCCTGCCCGCATGTGAGTCCTCCCAATGTTTGTGTTGTAGGTATGGCAGTTGATACTCGTATATTTTAATTGATTTAATTGATTTGATTGATATTTAATTGATTTATTGAAGTATATTTCTATGTCTCTGAGTATAAAAAATTGTTTCCTACATGCCGGGGTATGTCTTAAGCACAGCACGAGCCGGGCAGTAAAACTATGACCAAGAAACTGTCGGTGTCAAAATGCCATGTTATTTGATAGGCCGGGCAGGAAACAAAAGTTTACTGCCCGAGCCCAGGGCAATGACCTCTTAACTACAGTTTATCGCATTAGCCCAGAGGTATGATTGACAGGGAATGTATAATTGACATCATTATTGCATATTTGCCGCGTAAAATTAGAAAAGTAACATTTTTTGGTAAAAAATATCTGCTCTGCTTATCAAGGCTTTTGAAATATTTTGCATTGGTTACAAAGCCGAAATTATGTTAAGATATGCGCCTAATAATCGAAATCCGTTATCGCTTGTTATCTTATCTTCGTTTTATATGTCCACTGAGACCTTGGGCCTAAGTTATTGCGTTATCATTTGACAGTTGTAGTCCTTTCCTCGAAACAAACATGTAAAATATGGAAAATATAATGTATTTCACGAAAGTTCAACAAATAGGGCATCAACAAAGTACGATTACATAAATAAAGAAAAGATTCTTGCAAGAGCACTGGAAAATTTACGTTTAATCACTAGGATTATTATACCTTCTTCTTGTTCTTATGTGGTGGCAAATTATTCATGTATTATGTTCCTTGGATATCCAGTTGTTGTGCCATTCTGAGTTGATATTTTCAGACGCGATTCTTTTTGAAGTAAGGTGTTTTGAAGCATTTTCTTCTATAAATTTCCTTTAAAGCTTTATCCACAGCAGTAGCGCAATCACTGTTAGGAAATTATGGACAAAACAATTTAATAAAAGTATCACCAAAACCTGTCGAAACTACTTAGCAGGTATGCGGCATGTAGGAAAAATCTTACTGACCTCAGCCGTACGAAATTATTTGGAAACTCGGTTTGCAAAATTTGACTCCGGCCCTCGTGCTTCGCACTCGGGCCTACGTCAATTCTACAAACCTCGTTTCCAAATAATTTCGTCGGCCCGGTCAGTAATATATATTGATAGATTTAGGTAGTTTTAAACATTGTACCAGAACCGTTACATTAAATCCATGCTTGGATGTAGTAATCCATGCATACATGAGTACGTAAATGTACAAAATAACATACCGTGTAAAACATTCGTGGAACCTAAATAACACCGACAAACAAACAGAAAAGAAGCAAAACGTACCATTCATGTAAAATTATGTCCATGAAGTGAATTGTGTTTATTTTGTTGTTTCCAGCCTACTCCAGCAACATGAGCCAGTGCCACGACACACAGACCAACAAGTACTACAACGAGGGTGACCTGTGGTCTTCTGCCTACTCGGACTGCAAGCTCAACACGTGCGTCAACATTAACGGCGTCCTACACGTCGAACGATACTCGTGAGTTCATAGCGGTGGGCACAATTTGAGTACTTTTTCACAGAGGTCGATATGCCTAACTGCCTACACATACCACAATGGCAAGACCGTGAAAATGACTATGGGTAGTTCAAAAGTGAATGGACGGGGTGATTAAATGTCTAATGATGCGACTTGTGTGTTTAGGCGTGCAAATCACTGCAAGCATGGATAGAAATACGCATGCTTTGTTCACCGCATTTGTGCTGTTATTATGTAACAATCGTGGCATCAGCGAGTTTTATCTGGGCAGTCTTTGCCGTAAAAATAAAAAGAAGCCTATATTTGTGTAAATTGACGTACATCCATTGTTTCAACCTCAGGTGTCCGGTGATCACAAAGAACGTGGACTTCGACATGATGAGGCGCGAGAACTACTTCTGCCACCACGCCTGGGGCAACCGGAACAAGGCGTTTCCCTTCTGCTGTCCCAGTCTCGCCTGCAGACACTATGTGAAGGGAAGGATGATGCCGCTGCCCAAGCACATGTATCCCTACAAGAAGATCGAAAGCTAGATCCAAAACATCTGAAGGAAGTCTATCGATGTGTCATTTTCATTCTGTTTCCTGCAAAGCCAAAGTAAAAGTGTTTTAAAATAGAAGTTGAATGTAAGCAACACGCGATGTGAATGAGTGAGAGTTATGATGTGACATGTGTTTAGCTATACATAAATGTTATGCTTCGAAAATTGATCCTCTTGCCTCAGTATAAGTGCCGATTTGAATGAATCTCTACTCTGTAGTTCTTAAACAGATACAAGCGAATATGTGTACGATTACATGCCATACCGGATGTGTTTAAAGAAATTAAAATAAGCAAGTTTTTATTTAAATTGGCCGCACTGTTTTCATTGTTACATTTTTAACACGCGCACCGACGGGGGTCTGCGCCAACTTAGTACCGACGGGGGGGGGGGCGGATGACCGCCCCCCCCCTGAGATCTCGAGAACGAAGCAAGATAGCGATAAGCGGTAAACGGCATCGGATACGCACGGACAAGGTCTACAATTTTTACAAAGGTCATTTTCAGGTCAGGTCAAAGATGACGTCACAGGGGTCAAAAAAGTCAAAATGGCGGCGCTAGATACGGAGAGTTTTTCTCGAATAACTTTCGAATTAGTCAAGATAGGAACAAACTAAGGGCATCATCGTGATCCTCTCGTCAATCCGCATCGAATGATATACATATAGTGTAATATGTTGACCTCGAAAGGTCAAGGTCAAAGTTTGACCTCAGGTCACGTGACCTCGAGGTCATCATGTATATCATTTGATGCGTCTTGATGAGCTTAACACAATGAGGCCATCCGCGCGGCTGTATCTTGTTCCTGTACGGAGTTATTGGCAAAAAAAACTTTTGGTGACCTTTGATGACGTCACATGACCTTACAGCTGCCCAACAGCAAAACAGACCTCAAGGTAGTGAAGTTTGATCGTATATGAAGTTATGTATGGTATATGGGGCCATTCCGACCCGTTTTAGAGGTAAAAACAGGCAGTTGATTTTTCCCCCATTGACTTATAATGGGGAGGTCGAGAAATTGACCTGGCCTTAGGTCACTGATATCAAAATTCCGAGATAAAAAAATTGTAGCTAAGTAATGACCTAATAACATCCTGCGACTTTCAAAGGCCTCCGACATCTACTGTAGCTCTGGCACGGTGACAAAGTTGCAAAAAAGTGACTTGAGGTTGGGTCATTCAAAGTGACCTGGTGACCTGACCTTAAAAGTTAGGAGGTTCAAACTTGTCTACCATGTGTAAAATTGATGAGGGAATAGTCGTACCAAATTTCAGGGGGGCGGATATCCGCCCCCCCCCCCCCGTCGGTGCGCGTGTTAAGTGAAATATTGCAGGGATTTGCATCAATATGGGACCAAATGCGTAAATATTCCAAGGCTCGGTTCTCTGCGCTTCACGCGATTGGTTTCGCAATTTTCTATAAAAAAGCCAGGTCCCCACACTACGAATCTTATCACTGATTGGGTATCTTGAGAACTTCTTCATCATCCATCATAGATGTTTATGTATAACTGCACAAGGAATAGGCGTCTGATCATCCCCTTCCGACTTGACCCTCACCAGACCTATAAGTTTTCTATATAGGGCGCGGCCGAAGGCCGGTGTTTGGACACTGGACAGCTCCCCCTCCCCCCCCCCCCTCCCACACACATACGCACTTGACGTTTCGTACTTAATTGAACATATAAAGCCTCGCGTAAAACGAGCGTGTGCGTCGCTACGATACGTAACAACTGCTACCCGATTTTAAAGTCTCAGCTCAGCCGGTGATCTCTCAGGACAGGCCAAGCACTCCAAGGTATGGGTTCAATTATTGTTGAGAAACTTTGCGAGAAAAGGCCACACTGTTCACAGAACCGTGATTTTGGCATCTTGGTATTTGTCATGGCTCAAATGATGCACTTATTTTGGGTGTGGTCAACTTTGGGGTGATGACCTCAGATCAAGATCAGTTTAAGACCACTTTTCAGATGTTACAAGATCTGGCTTAAATTATAGGTCGGGGTGCCACTTTCAGCTATTTCTGGGACCAGCGCGTTCTGAGCAATCTCGAAAAAAAAAAACTGAGGACCCTACCCCTTCGGCCGGAGAAGGTTGAGATTGGGAATGAAAATGGCAAACGTTAGGTAACGCTTAAATGCCTCTTAACAAAAAAAAAATCGAGGCTCTACTTAGGTCTGGTGATATTATTAAAATTATCATCATCCAAAGAACCAAAACTATAGTTGTGTGCTTTTATTCATTCACGCTCAGTGTTGCGCTTTGCAAACGATTTTTGTTTAATTGGTACTTTTAATTCAAGAATCGTAAATCTTTATGAGCCTACGATACCATGCCTAGAACACACTCATGCTTATTTCATGCACTTTGATACAGTGTGAGAATCTCCAGTTGATTGCATTTATATAGCTAGATAAGGCCTAACAAGATCGGTCACTGATCCAGATAAGGTAAAGGTTAGAATTGGGTAAGAATGCCTTCATATTCCTGGAGATGCTAATTTTTTTTCTCAAACAAATATGACGCATTTATTCAAAAGTTGATTCATGACTCAGAGTCAACACAATTGGATGGATAGCATGAACCACTAACTCTACAGAAGAAAATGAATCTTGCGAGCGCTTTTACATTTATCGATGATGTTTCTCATCCACACGCTCATATCTAACACAGAAACAACACTCAAACATTTGCAGAGGCACACACACGCATGGCGACGTACAAGCGCCTCACTTTGGTATATGATGGAAGGATCCTTCTGAACACATATCAGGGTAAGCAGTAAGCACAGGACAAACTTTGGCACGACATCTCGGCTCATGTCACGTTCTATCAAGCTGACAGCCTCCGGATGTCATCTCAACTCTCGGGTTGCATTTTCGGGTACATTTGTTCGGGCAGCGGCATCATCTTTCCGTTGACGATGTGCTTGCAGCGGATGTTGGGACAGCAGTGGGGGAACGCCTTGTTCCTGTCGCCGAACGCGTAGCGACAGAAGTAGCCCTCCTTCTTCAGGAGGCTCGCGTCCACCGTCGGGCATCTATGCAAAAACAGAGGGTCCTAACCTAACCTAACCTAACCTAACCTAACCTAACCTAACCTAACCTAACCTAACCTAACCTAACCTAACCTAACCTAACCTAACCTAACCTAACCTAACCTAACCTAACCTAACCTAACCTAACCTAGCTGTTAATGGCCGTCTGCACCCAAATCGCGTTATCGTTCATATCCTGATCGATAACAAGACTTAGGCCGACGACGAATGTGTCTATAGGACGGTATTTTTGGATTGAAAGTTGCTATTGGGGAGGGTGGGAGGGAATCGTTTTCCACAGCCTGTCGCTTTGTTTCCACCCTTCCGCACTGTCCGCCGCCTCTGAGCGCGCGCCTTGGACTGCCCGACCTGTTTTGCGGCCTGTGTACTGTGCGTGTCTTATCTCGCCTCGGCCGAAGCCCGGTCCCCTCCCCCTGGACCCGGGTCGTCAACCGCGCCACGACTCGGGTCTCCTCCCACCCCTCTGCCCCTCCCTCCCTCCTCGTGCTGGCCATCCTCCGCTCCCTCTATTCGAGCCCCAAATCAAGCTAATAGGTGGGCCCTATTACTGATTAGGGTGTCTCATACCGTACGCTCCCCAGATCTGTTGTCCAGTATTGGCTGTTAATGGCCGTCTGCACCCAAATCGCGTTATCGTTCATATCCTGATCGATAACAAGACGCCAAAATCGCCAACGGAGCAGAATGTACGCGGTTATATAGGTATCCTGAGTGTTGGCAATGCACACGACGTTCGGCATGAACAGTGTTTTGTTCGAAGTTCCATAGCCTGCCGTGTCCGTCTGTCTGCTGTTTGCACTTCCCATCGGCCCGCCGACGCGGCGATTAGTGTTATGAGTTACGCCAGGTCCCCCTTCCTAGCGTCCGCACACACTGACGAACACTTCCCTTCCCCATGTCGCCGAACCCCCCCCCCCCTCTCTCCCCACTCTCTCTCTCTTTCCTCTCCCTCACTCTCTCTCTCTCCTCTCTCTCTCCCTCACTTTCCTCCCCGTCCGACGTCCGACTACGGGACGGACGGGCCCGTCCCACGGTCCCTCTCTTGTTTGTCGGTTTTCTGGGGCTGTAGCTTTATTACCGCAACGGCCGTCCAGAACCAATAGCACCACCGTGGCCACAGACCACCCTCACATCCACTTTCGCGTTTGACGAGCGTAAGACGGCGATAGTTGAAATTGACGTGTTTGACTGGCACCGCCATTGCGTCCTTTTTATTGACACCATCCGAAGCCGTGCTCTATTACTGATTAGGGTGTCTCATACCGTACGCTCCCCAGATCTGTTGTCCAGTATTGGCTGTTAATGGCCGTCTGCACCCAAATCGCGTTATCGTTCATATCCTGATCGATAACAAGACTTAGGCCGACGACGAATGTGTCTATAGGACGGTATTTTTGGATTGAAAGTTGCTATTGGGGAGGGTGGGAGGGAATCGTTTTCCACAGCCTGTCGCTTTGTTTCCACCCTTCCGCACTGTCCGCCGCCTCTGAGCGCGCGCCTTGGACTGCCCGACCTGTTTTGCGGCCTGTGTACTGTGCGTGTCTTATCTCGCCTCGGCCGAAGCCCGGTCCCCTCCCCCTGGACCCGGGTCGTCAACCGCGCCACGACTCGGGTCTCCTCCCACCCCTCTGCCCCTCCCTCCCTCCTCGTGCTGGCCATCCTCCGCTCCCTCTATTCGAGCCCCAAATCAAGCTAATAGGTGGGCCCTATTACTGATTAGGGTGTCTCATACCGTACGCTCCCCAGATCTGTTGTCCAGTATTGGCTGTTAATGGCCGTCTGCACCCAAATCGCGTTATCGTTCATATCCTGATCGATAACAAGACGCCAAAATCGCCAACGGAGCAGAATGTACGCGGTTATATAGGTATCCTGAGTGTTGGCAATGCACACGACGTTCGGCATGAACAGTGTTTTGTTCGAAGTTCCATAGCCTGCCGTGTCCGTCTGTCTGCTGTTTGCACTTCCCATCGGCCCGCCGACGCGGCGATTAGTGTTATGAGTTACGCCAGGTCCCCCTTCCTAGCGTCCGCACACACTGACGAACACTTCCCTTCCCCATGTCGCCGAACCCCCCCCCCCCCTCTCTCCCCACTCTCTCTCTCTTTCCTCTCCCTCACTCTCTCTCTCTCCTCTCTCTCTCCCTCACTTTCCTCCCCGTCCGACGTCCGACTACGGGACGGACGGGCCCGTCCCACGGTCCCTCTCTTGTTTGTCGGTTTTCTGGGGCTGTAGCTTTATTACCGCAACGGCCGTCCAGAACCAATAGCACCACCGTGGCCACAGACCACCCTCACATCCACTTTCGCGTTTGACGAGCGTAAGACGGCGATAGTTGAAATTGACGTGTTTGACTGGCACCGCCATTGCGTCCTTTTTATTGACACCATCCGAAGCCGTGCTCTATTACTGATTAGGGTGTCTCATACCGTACGCTCCCCAGATCTGTTGTCCAGTATTGGCTGTTAATGGCCGTCTGCACCCAAATCGCGTTATCGTTCATATCCTGATCGATAACAAGACTTAGGCCGACGACGAATGTGTCTATAGGACGGTATTTTTGGATTGAAAGTTGCTATTGGGGAGGGTGGGAGGGAATCGTTTTCCACAGCCTGTCGCTTTGTTTCCACCCTTCCGCACTGTCCGCCGCCTCTGAGCGCGCGCCTTGGACTGCCCGACCTGTTTTGCGGCCTGTGTACTGTGCGTGTCTTATCTCGCCTCGGCCGAAGCCCGGTCCCCTCCCCCTGGACCCGGGTCGTCAACCGCGCCACGACTCGGGTCTCCTCCCACCCCTCTGCCCCTCCCTCCCTCCTCGTGCTGGCCATCCTCCGCTCCCTCTATTCGAGCCCCAAATCAAGCTAATAGGTGGGCCCTATTACTGATTAGGGTGTCTCATACCGTACGCTCCCCAGATCTGTTGTCCAGTATTGGCTGTTAATGGCCGTCTGCACCCAAATCGCGTTATCGTTCATATCCTGATCGATAACAAGACGCCAAAATCGCCAACGGAGCAGAATGTACGCGGTTATATAGGTATCCTGAGTGTTGGCAATGCACACGACGTTCGGCATGAACAGTGTTTTGTTCGAAGTTCCATAGCCTGCCGTGTCCGTCTGTCTGCTGTTTGCACTTCCCATCGGCCCGCCGACGCGGCGATTAGTGTTATGAGTTACGCCAGGTCCCCCTTCCTAGCGTCCGCACACACTGACGAACACTTCCCTTCCCCATGTCGCCGAACCCCCCCCCCCCTCTCTCCCCACTCTCTCTCTCTCTCTTTCCTCTCCCTCACTCTCTCTCTCTCCTCTCTCTCTCCCTCACTTTCCTCCCCGTCCGACGTCCGACTACGGGACGGACGGGCCCGTCCCACGGTCCCTCTCTTGTTTGTCGGTTTTCTGGGGCTGTAGCTTTATTACCGCAACGGCCGTCCAGAACCAATAGCACCACCGTGGCCACAGACCACCCTCACATCCACTTTCGCGTTTGACGAGCGTAAGACGGCGATAGTTGAAATTGACGTGTTTGACTGGCACCGCCATTGCGTCCTTTTTATTGACACCATCCGAAGCCGTGCTGCTGTCGATATGCATGGACCAGTGGACGTCATGCTGCTGGTGGCCTGGTGCCTGGTGCAAACAGGGTCGCCAGGTGTCCTTAGGGTGTGTTATTCCCCAGCGACGGCAAAGTCCAAGTCGGCGCGGAGCCAAGCGTCTAAAGTCGACGCGGAGCCAAGCGTCTATGTGCGCCTGTTCGGCGATGGCCGCGCTGAGCGGCCGCAGTTCTATGCACACAGCATTGGTTAATGGTTTGCCCATCTCCTTATTCACTACCGCTTATAATTGCCATTGTTCCATAAATTTTTAATGGGTCAACATGGTTCAGGCATGTGGATGTGCCTTACCGATACGGTTCAGGCGTACCGGGCGTATAAATGAGCCCACATGGTTCACGCATGCGTGGCTTATGGTTCAGGCATGTTGAATTGCCTCTCCGATACGGTTCAGGCGTAACTGGCGCATAAATGAGCCCACATGGTTCACGCATTTGTGGCTTGGTGCTGCTTCGATATGGTTCACGCATACCTGACGAACAGCGAGTTTTGTAATGGGTCAACATGGTTCAGGCATGTTGAAGTGTCTCACCGAAACGGTTCAGGTGGGTTCAGGCGTACCGGGCGCATAAATGAGCCCACATGGGTTCACGCATGTGTGGCTTGGTGCTGCGTCGATATGGTTCACGCATACCTGACGAACAGCGAGTTTTTAATGGATCAACATGGTTCAGGCATATTGAATTGTCTCCCCGATACGGTTCAGGCGTAACTGGCGCATAAATGAGCCCACATGGTGCACGTATGTGTGGCTTGGTGCTGCGTCGATACGTCGATATGGTTCAGACATACCTGGCGAACAGCGAGTTTTACTGTGTCAACATGATTCAGGCATGTTGAATTGACGCACCAATACGTGTCAGAATACCGGACGCGTAGATGAGCCCAGATGGTGCAGGCATGTGTGGCTTGGAGCCGCGTCGATATGGTTCATGCATACTTTACGAACAGCTAATTTAACTGTCAACATGGTTCATGCATGTTGAATCGCCTCACCGATACGGGTCAGAGAACCGGGCGCGGAATCCAGCCGCCCACATGATTCAGGCATTTTTGGCTGAGGGCCGCGTAGATATGATTCAGACATCACGACGAACAACGCAGTTAACTGTCAACATGATTCATGCATGTTGAATTGCCGCACCGCTACTGGTCAGGCGTACCGAGCGCCTAAATGAGCCCACATGATTCAGGCATGTCATGTGGCTGGGGGCGGCGTCGATATGGTTCATGCATACCTGACGCACAACGGATTTAACTGTGTCAACATGAGTCATGCATGTTGAATCGCCGCACCGATGCGTGTTAGAATACCGGGCGCATAAATGGGCCCGCATGATTCAGGCATGTTTGTTTGGGAGCTGCGTCGATATGGTTTAGACGTACCTGACGCACGACGGATTTAACTGTCAACATGATTCATGCATGTTGAATCGCCTCATCGATACGGGTCAAAGAACCGGCGTATGTGAGCCCACATGATTCAAACGTGTGTGGCTGGGAGCCACGTAGATATGGTTCAGGCATGCCTGACGGGCAACGAATTTAGCTGTGTCAACATGATCATGCATGCTGAATTTCCGTACCGATACGGATCAGAGAACCGGTGTGGGGAAGCCCACATGTTTCGGGCGTGTGTGGCTGGGAGCCGCGTAGATATAGTTCAGGCATACTTGACAAACAACGAATTTAGCTGTGTCAACATGATTCATGCATGTTGTATTGCCGCGCCGATACGTGTCAGAATACCGTGCACATAGATGAGCCCACATGATTCAGGCATGTGTGGCTGGGAGCCGCGTCGATGTGGCCTCACGCCGATATGTTTCGGCATACCGGTTGCATGAATGATCCCACGTAATTCAAGCGCGTGTGTCTGGTAGCCGCGTCGGTACGGTTCAGGCATACCTGACGAATAGCAAATTCTAACTGGGTGAACATGATTCATGCATATTTTGCCAATCGATTCTTCACGCCGATAAGGTTCAGGCATAACGGGGTACGGTTCAGGCATACCTGACGAGCAGCAAATTTAACTGGGTCAAACTGGGTCATGCGTGTTTGATAGATCAATTTCTCACGCCGATATGGGTCAGGCGGACTGGGCGCACAAATGAGCTCACGTGATTCGGGCGCGTGTGGCTTGTAAGCCGTGTCAGTACGGTTCAGTCATATCCGACGAACAGTGATTGAACTGGGTCAACATGGTTCATGCATGATCAATCGCTTCCTCGCGCCGATATGGGTCAGGCCTTCCGGGCGCGTAAATGGGCGCTGCGTCCATTGTCCTCCCTGACTGCGTGAGGGGGTATCCTGTGCAAATAGCTCCCGACCGACTGCTTGAGTCGTGGGTCCCTTACCAGTGTTATCGGACAAAAGGTCAACCACTCGGCCCCACAGAGGTGACCCCTGCGTCCCTCCCGCGCCTTCCCCTCCCCCTCGTGAACTGGCGGTGGTTTTACACGCCGCGACGCCCGGCGGCGGTGTCACGACGTGACGTAACGGCTCTATTACTGCTGACGGCCGAGTGTTGGCCGCCCGACCGGTGGGCGCGCGCAGCGGAATGGGTGGGGGGAGCCCCGTCCGCGGAAGTACAGCTGGCACTCCCCGGCGGCCATCACAGCGACAATGCTTTGATGTGTGCATTTGTTCTGATGACGTCACCCGGCACCCAACGAATAGCGTCATTGGCTCCATCTTAGTCAGGCGGGGCGCCGCGTCGATATGGTTTAGACATACCTGACGAACAGCGAATTTAACTGACAACATGATTCATGCATGTTGAATCGCCGCATCGGTACGGTTCAGGCGTACCGGGCGCATAGATGAGCCCACATGGTTCAGGCGTTTGTGACTTGGCGCTGCGTCGATATGGTTCAGGCATATCTGACGAACAGCGACTTTTACTCTGTCAACATGAATCAGGCATGTTGCATTGCCGCACCGATACGGTGCAGGCGTACCCGGCGCATAAATGAGCCCACATGGTTCAGGCATGTGTGGCTTGGCGCTGCGTCGATATGGTTCAGGCATACCTGACGAACAGCGAGTTTTACTGTGTCAACATGATTCATGCATGTTGAATAACCGCACCGATACGGTGCAGGCGTACCCGGCGCATAGATGAGCCCACATGGTTTAGGCATGTGTGGCTTGGTGCTGCGTCGATATGGTTCAGGCATATCTGACGAACAGCGAGTTTTACTGTGGCAACATGATTCATGCATGTTGCATTGCCGCACCGATACGGTGCAGGCGTACCCGGCGCATAAATGAGCCCACATGGTTCAGGCATGTGTGGCTTTGCGCTGCATCGATATGGTTCAGGCATATCTGACGAACAGCGAGTTTTACTGTGTCAACATGATTCATGCATGTTGCATTGCCGCACCGATACGGTGCAGTCGTACCCGGCGCATAAATGAGCCCACATGGTTCAGGCATGTGTGGCTTGGCGCTGCGTCGATATGGTTCAGGCATATCTGACGAACAGCGAGTTTTACTGTGTCAACATGATTCATGCATGTTGCATTGCCGCACCGATACGGTGCAGTCGTACCCGGCGCATAAATGAGCCCACATGGTTCAGGCATGTGTGGCTTGGCGCTGCGTCGATATGGTTCAGGCATATCTGACGAACAGCGAGTTTTACTGTGTCAACATGATTCATGCATGTTGCATTGCCGCACCGATACGGTGCAGTCGTACCCGGCGCATGAATGAGCCCACATGGTTCAGGCATGTGTGGCTTGGCGCTGCGTCGATATGGTTCAGGCATATCTGACGAACAGCGAGTTTTAATGTGTCAACATGAGTCATGCATGTTGCATTGCCGCACCGATACGGTGCAGGCGTACCCGGCGTGTATAATGAGCCCACATGGTTCAGGCATGTGTGGCTTGGCGCTGCATCGATATGGTTCAGGCATATCTGACGAAAAACGAGTTTTTCAGTGTCAATATGATTCATGCATGTTGAATTGCCGCACCGATACGGTGCAGGTGTACCCGGCGCATAAATGAGCCCACATGGTTCAGGCATGTGTGGCTTGGCGCTGCGTCGATATGGTTCAGGCATATCTGACGAACAGCGAGTTTTACTGTGTCAACATGATTCATGCATGTTGCATTGCCGCACCGATACGGTGCAGTCGTACCCGACGCATAAATGAGCCCACATGGTTCAGGCATGTGTGAATTGGCGCTGCGTCGATATGGTTCAGGCATATCTGACGAACAGCGAGTTTTAATGTGTTAACATGATTCATGCATGTTGCATTGCCGCACCGATACGGTGCAGGCGTACCCGGCGCATAAATGAGCCCACATGGTTCAGGCATGTGTGGCTTGGCGCTGCGTTGAGGCATATCTGACGAACAGCGAGTTTTACTGTGTCAACATGATTCATGCATGTTGAATTGCCGCACCGATACGGTGCAGTCGTACCCGGCGCATAAATGAGCCCACATGGTTCAGGCATGTGTGGCTTGAAACTGCGTCGATATGGTTCAGGCATATCTGACGAACAGCGAGTTTTACTGTGTCAACATGAATCAGGCATGTTGCATTGCCGCACCGATACGGTGCAAGCGTACCCGGCGCATAACTTAGCCCACATATTGCGTGTGTGGCTTGGCGCTACGTCGATATGGTTCAGGCATATCTGACGTACAGCGAGTTTTACTGCGATATGGGTCAGGCAAACCGGTCGCCAAATGAACCCGTGTACCTGACGAACAGTGAATTTAACTGGGTCTACATGGTTCATGCATGTTGATTGTTGCTGCTCTGCACCGGTATGGGTCAGGCATACCAGGCGCATTAATGAGCCCACACGATTCAGTCATGTGTATAAGCAGCGTCGGTACGGTTCTGTCGTACCTGACGAACAGCGGATTTAACTGGGTCAACATGGTTCAGACATGTTGGTTCTCCGCTCTGTGTTACTGTGACATGGACGACGAGCCGGTATTCATACCCAGATGGAGCGGGTGGTATTGTATCAGTTATTCACTATCATTGACTCTGGACACACACATCTGCCATGTGCGTCTCTGCACAACGGTCTATCCCACTGGCATTGATTCGTTCACAACATCAGCATAATCCATTCGCTTGACTCTTCGGCGAGTCAGCCATGCAGGCAGCAGGCTCCTTATATGACTAGTATCGCTAGCACGCTAGCCTGACTTACCGGCCATGTCCGTCTCCCTTGGTCCCCCTCTGCTGAGCACCAGGTACTCTGTCGCTCCACAAACCTGTCTCCCGGCCTTGTCTACTTTTCCTGCTCGCTCGTTTTACAGCGCTTAGCTCGACGCTCGATTCCCACTCTCTCGCTTTGTCCGTCACCTCTGCGACCGCACAATCGTTTTCCACAGCCTGTCGCTTTGTTTCCACCCTTCCGCACTGTCCGCCGCCTCTGAGCGCGCGCCTTGGACTGCCCGACCTGTTTTGCGGCCTGTGTACTGTGCGTGTCTTATCTCGCCTCGGCCGAAGCCCGGTCCCCTCCCCCTGGACCCGGGTCGTCAACCGCGCCACGACTCGGGTCTCCTCCCACCCCTCTGCCCCTCCCTCCCTCCTCGTGCTGGCCATCCTCCGCTCCCTCTATTCGAGCCCCAAATCAAGCTATTGAGCTACGTCATTATGAGCCCACTGATGAACAATTCATGTATCTGCCAAACTGGCATCCATCAAGACACTTATTCAATGCACAACTGCATTGTTTTGTCATCAAGCCAATGACAAGTGGCCGTAATGAGTATCGTTAGTCTCAAACCATTATACATTTGGCATTTGAACTGGTTTGAACTCGTCACTCACAGCGGCAAAAACGGTAGACTTGCATAAGAATTGCACCTTTTAACTCAATACTTAACAGTGTTGTTGCAATTGCTTCTGTCAATGCTTCCGTAGACCTACGAAACTAATCCAATTAGCTGAGCTACCATTCAATGCTGAAATAAACTTACGAGTAGCGTTCCACGTTGAGCACACCGTTGATGTCCACACAGGTGTTGAGTTTGCAATCAGAGAAGGGCGAGGACCAGAAATCACCCTCGTCATACATCTGGTTCAGTTGAGGGTCCAGACACTGCGACATGTTACTCGAGTATGCTGGAAAAAGTGTGCAAGTTAGGCGTTATAACTGGTAAGCCAAGTCCGTAGATGATAGACAATTGTGTAAAATATTGCTGTTTTATCCTCGCTTAGGTCAAAACTAATTGCTAGGTACTAGTTAAAAAAAAAACAAGCAGATAGCTGCTTTTTTAGTATTTCATGAGCGGATAAACAACACTTTTTATACGAAACAACATAAAACGAGTACTCTAGCTGAAAGCTGTTGCTAAAGTAAAGCTTGAAACCGAGTCACCCTACAGTAATTGCATACAAAAGCCCACCCCTTTTCAACTCACGCGCTGGCAGTCTGATGTAAAGTGCCCCTCTTGACACCCTGGTCAGATCCACTGGCTCCTCTGTGACAGCTGTCTGGAACACTGCCACCATCACAACGACGCGGAACAGCATGATGAGTACTCTCAGCGTGCGATCAATCACTCGCATGAATGGACTGTGTCACCAACGGTGGCACGAGGTCCTTATATGTGGCTGTACACAGCGTCCCGGTTTTTGTTGACACCACCGGGATTTACGCTGCTTCTGTGGTGTGTTTGGATTAAATTCCAGGATGTGGATGGGACGAAGAACAGATGATGAGAGGGTTTCTATGAATGGTGCAACGTTCATGTTACTGCTGCACTACAAATGACGTCAGATCAGCGGTCAGTAGCCATACGTGACGTCACAGTGCAGCGCTCAGTGGTCTTGTCCTGGTGGTGGGTAGCGGTCTCTGAATGATAAAAGTTGCAGCCTAGAACAACATCAAACAACAGATGCCCAAGAAGGTGCAAAGCTGTCATCAGGTCATGGGTGATATGCGAGCAGTATAGCTGCAAGCAGGCTTGCCTATGTTTTTTTATCGCAGAAATGTGCATTTCAAAATTAGCTCGCGCCTGGATAGTTCAGCATGTAAAGATATTATATTAGCGCATATATTTTTAGCATAAACCGAGCTCTGTCCAGTTACGATACCTAGGACTCTGTCCAGCACGTTCAAAGCGTTCTTATCTTATGACCGATCCCAGAATTTCCCAACGGGGCGGTATAGAGGTCAGAACAGGCTGTGATTAGCGTGGGTTCCGTTCCGGCCTTAAAAATCCGCCCATACACAACTCTCGGTCTAAGTAGCAAAACACAGCTTATTGTGTACAGCCGGCAGCAACGGAGAGTCTAGGCACTCTAAAGCATTTCTGTTGAATGGTTTATCGCAAATATCCATGACCATTTCTGATAACTAAGAAAGAAGTTCCATGCATCTGTGCTGTATCGATGATTATATGATCAACAATACAGGACGCAGTTCCGTAGCTCTGAGAACGTTTTTATTACTTTTTCACTTTAATGGCCATACTTCCGCAATCTGCACGCAAATCGTTATGATTGAGGCTGCGTCATGTGGGCCGGGCCTGCGTTCCGGTATAAATATCAGTATGGCCTGCACCTCTGTTGCACTCGGAAACCAGGACTCAGTGAACTCGTCCGTGTTCTTTTGCACCGTGATCATGTTTTCGCGTGTGTCAGCGGCGCTGGTGGCTCTTCAGGTGATTGTCGCGGCTGGGTCGGACAATCTTTACAGCGTGAGAAGAGGACCGCTTTACATTCGACTGCCAGCACGTAAGTAGGAATAGCACACTACGCTGGCATGCACCATGCATGCTTAGATATAAGCTTGTCTTGAATATCTGCTTACTTCAGTTGGAATTATTTGTATACATAATTATAAAGTGATTTTCACTCGTATATTTAGGCATGTTTAGGATAAGCAATAATTCAACAATAGGTGTACGGCTCTTCCCGTGCCCATCAGTGAAGCATAGTACTCTCTTTGATGCCATAAAGTTTATGGCATAAACTAACACTTGTTTTCCTTGCCATTGCTTCCAGCTTACTCGAGCAGCCACCCGCAGTGTTTTGACACCCAAGTGAGCCGGTTTTACGACGTAGGCGAAGTCTGGTCGTCAGCGTACTCTGCGTGCAAGCTGAACACGTGTGTCAACATCGGAGGGGTTCTGCACGTGGAGCGCTACTCGTAAGTCGAGTCATCAGTGACAGGGCATTTGGATGGGTCTCTTTTAGCTTTTCGCACCCCTCTAATCGAACAACATTGCGTCGCTGGTGAATAAAATAAGAAATCCTAAGTTTTAACCGTTCTCCCTTTGGATGCCATTTCTACATTCCGATTCCGATGATCTTTTCTGGATGTGGCAGTAGTAGAGAGAAGAAAAAAAAGATCGGCATCTACATACTGAAGAAAGCCGAGTTCTTCATAGAGCTAATTGAGTGTAAACGCTTGAAAACGCGTTTATCAGAGCACTCAGATAATATTCTGCCACTCATTTTTGATTTTCTGTCGCTCGTTCATTTCTATCGCCTCATTTGCCTAACACGCTCCTTATTAATGCTCGTGATTATTTCAGATGTCCATCGGTTACCAAGAACGTGGACTTCACCAGGCTCAAGGCGGGAAACCTCTACTGCCGCCAGGCCTGGGGCAATCGAAACAAGGCGTATCCTGACTGCTGCCCCAGTCTGCAGTGCAAGCACTACGTGAAGGGAAAGCTGGAGCCGCTGCCCAAACACATGTACCCTTACCTGTGATTGTCGAAGAGAATGGTGCTTTACTGGCATACTCGTATGTAAGGTGATGAATGCGTGAATACGTTCATCGGTGACTGTATGGCAAGGGGAATTCGATAGAACCATGGATTTACATAGATATATAGAGAGAGGAAAGAAACACATGATGTGCGTTGGTTATGCATACAAAACGAACGGTGTGTCGTTATATGTTACGACATAAATGTTATGCTATAGTACTGGATATTGATGAAATTGTATGACAAAGCTGTGTATCTTTATGCTCAATCACTCGAATAAACTTACCACTTACCGAATGAATATCTATTTTCCTTTATAGATCAAGTCTGAATGCATTAATCGCGTTATTTATGCAGGTATTATGTGTTAGATAAGTATACTTCTAATGCATGAGCACACATACCCCACCCACACGAATATATACGGCCACTTCCACTCCAACCACAGCTTGCATGGAACATTCGGCCATGAAGCTCAGGTGCCTATAGTGGGATGGCTCATAACTCCGCGTAAATCCCCGAGTAACGCGTCATGCCTGGCGTCGAGCGCTGGTATAAAAGTCGGATGCGAGAGCTCTGGACCACATTAATTCACACCAGCTCTCTGTGAACACGTCTGCAGTGCAAAAAGCGACAATATGCTGTTCTGTGTGGTTCTTGCGCTCGCTGCCTTCAGCGTGGCGGTGGCAGAGGAGCCGATGGATCTCACCAGGGTGCAGAGAGGCGCTCTGTACATTCGGCTACCGGCACGTGAGTTCAATGAACATTGCTTGTTTATTCATATCATATAATAACTTATATCATTACTTAAGTCATATCTACAAAAAGGACTTTTCTATTTATTGCAACCATAAGAGATGATGCATTAATAAATAAAATATCGCCCCTTTTTTCCAGCGTATTCGACGGCTCCAACTCAGTGTTATGACCCGCAAATTGACGAATACTTCAACGAGGGGGACGTCTGGTCGTCCTCCTACTCGGGCTGCAAGCTGAGCACCTGTGTCGACATCAACGGCATCCTCAACGTCGAGAGATACTCGTAAGTTTCACTGGATGTGACCCGCTGTGCTTTATTACTGTTAGGCTATTCTAATCTGTTGAATTGATAATTTGATAAAACGGTGATTTTTGCATGTTTTGGGAAGATATGAAAAATAAGATTATTTAGGCCTCACGTCGTGCCACATAATTGTGCATGTTACCTTGTTTCCACAATCATATTAACACATTTTTAAATATTTTCCCCAGGTGCCCGCTGGTGAGCAAGGGTGTCGACTTCAAGCGGCTGAAGAAGGAGAACTACTACTGTCGCCAGGCCTGGGGCAACCGGAACAAGCAGTTCCCCTCCTGCTGCCCCAGTCTCCAGTGCAAATACTACGTCAAGGGAAAGCTGATGCCGCTGCCCAAGCACATGTACCCCCTGCTCTGAGCCTTATTCATAAAGACTGCACCGCTAATCAATAGTCAGATTGGCAGAAAAGTCGTGTAACTGTATCGAGCTTCCTAAATGACCTGACCTGTAGTGTAAGTTATTTGAGTGAAGTGTAACGGCGTCGTAAAGCGACGCTCGGTTTGTCAAATGGTGCTGGAATGGCAATCCCCGTATTACTGTTTCTCAATGCAATGTGTGCTTGTGAGTTTGTGTATTTGAGCTTCGTTTGATTGTGTCACTTGTGGAATGTTTTTTTATATAAATACACATAAAGAAAATAACAGGTGTATTGTGATAAGAACAAGAAACGTTTACTAACATTGATTAGGTGATACACCGACGAGGAATGGACTACATGGCCACAAAACAGCCACCAGTCAGCATGCTGCTGAGCGATGAAGGCTAATTGCGCTACCCACGGCACGGAGCCATCTCTATGTAGTGGCGCGGTTCGTACGGCGTTGTTCGGTTCTCGAGAGGACCCTGTTATAATTGCCAGAGATGCCCGTACTCCAGAGTGGCCAATATCCAGGGGTCTCGCTGCTGTGCTGTAGCCTAGAAGGGAGTTAGAAGAGGAAACCTATGAGGCGGTTGACAGGAAAACTGGTCTGACGGCAGTCCGTCGCGTTAGAAGGACGGATGATGGATAGAAAGTAAAAAAAAAAATCTGTTTTACACTGGGCGCTATAGGCATATAGGTAGTTGAACTTATTCAGAGGCAAAACAATGTTTCTCATCTAGCAAATAGCAACTGTCGTTTAAATCAAGTTAGTCAACAGAAACATCAACCTATTCAAAAATCGACAATACTGGATTCATATAGTAGGTCTGCTTTGTCAGTTCAGGCTCACCAGCAGTCTTACAGCGTTTACAATTGAGCGGCCACGGGCCGTTATATTTGCCGCTACCCTCTAGCCCCACCTGAAATGTATAAGGGGCTTTACTGCTGCGTCAGCTCTTAGAAGATCCTTACCTAAGACGGTTTTGCACAGTGCACACCCACACGCCTATATGGTATACGACAACCAATTGGAGTTCCACCCTCCAACAGTGTCCGTTTTCTCCATGAACTATCATTTGTCCACGAAAATACAGGTCATCCCAGGGAATGTCGGTGAAAATGAGCTAAATTTCAAAACATGCAGAAGTGATTGTTTGTAAATATCTGCGGTGCCCGGCCTACCTTGAATCTGGTGCGACTGTGTGGCAGCATATCGCTCTCCTGCAGCCGCTAACAGAAATATTGCTATAAATCATTGTAAAAACAACGCAAGAAACTGAAATAAAACAGCCATGCGTCTCCGATCTAATCCACTTATGTAACACTGATTGTTCGGCCACCCCCACACATAATGTGTTTATCGTGTAATCGTTCACTCCACAGTCCACGCATCACCTCCGGTTCTCATTTTGACCATTTAGAGACAGACTGACTACATGTGTGGTTCTATTTATTTCAAATATACTTTTACTCAAGTACCTATATATGCATACGATATATTATACAATATATACATTGTCATCGAGAGCTTCATCGATGCAAAATTATTTTCATAAAAACGAACATAAGTCTTCATATACAGGAAACACAAACTTGCATAAATAACTGGCTGCTGCACTTCCCTCCAATGCATAGTATATGCATCCTCCATCATACATAAATACCGTGCACTCCAATCAATAACTTAGCACAGCTACGATAGGAATAATGACAGCCTTCTAATGTTACAACAGTGCATTTCGGCGGAGAGGTACCACAATCGGTTAACGCCGCCTAGTCGATAGCTCAGAGCAGGGGGTACATGTGTTTGGGCAACGGCATCAGCTTTCCCTTCACGTAGTATTTGCACTGGAGACTGGGGCAGCAGGAGGGGAACTGCTTGTTCCGGTTGCCCCAGGCCTGGCGACAGTAGTAGTTTTCCTTCTTCAGCCGCTTGAAGTCGACGCCCTTGCTTACCAGAGGGCACCTGAGAAAATATAAAAAATGTGTTAATATGATTGTGGAAACAAGGTAATATGCACTATTATGTGGCACGGTGTGATGCCTAAACAATTTTATTTTTCATATCTTCCCAAAACATGCAAAAATCACCGTTTTATCAAATTATCAATTCAACAGATAAGAATAGCTTAACAATAATAAAGCACAGCGAGCTAGTTATGTAACATCCATTGCGACTTACGAGTATCTCTCGACGTTGAGGATGCCGTTGATGTCGACACAGGTGCTCAGCTTGCAGCCCGAGTAGGAGGACGACCAGACGTCCCCCTCGTTGAAGTATTCGTCAATTTGCGGGTCATAACACTGAGTTGGAGCCGTCGAATACGCTGTAATCACAAATGTCGTTAAATTTACCTATGAACCATTTGAATAATTTATAAAAGTAATTTCATCTTTTCCAATATTATGATCTTTAATGTTGATTTCTAAATCTGGAAAGTTTAGTTGCAACATATTTGTATCCACTGTTTAACGCAACAAAGGCGTTTTGGGCGCTTTGGCATTTTTCAATTCCAATACAAACGCAAAGGAGGTAGGTCAACTCACGTGCCGGTAGCCGAATGTACAGAGCTCCTCTTTGCACCCTGGTGAGATCCATCGGCTCCTCTGCCACGGCCATGGCGATGGCGACAGCCAAAATAAGTACCCGAGACAACATAATGTCTGATTGCTTCAACTGCGACCGGTGCGTGTCCTCCCTCGCAGGTAGTGAGAAGAAGTGTGACCACCAGTCCGCACTACCGACCTTTATACGCCAGTGTTCGACCTTCGCATGACGCCGTGTCGCACGTGATTTTCTCGGGAGAGACTTACGAGCCATCCGGTCAAAATAAAACCTTTATGACTCGATACCCATGTCGGCCGGAGAATTTCCGCTTTCATTGAGATCCGGTGTGGGTGGCAGCGCATGATGTGCTGCGATAAGCCGCGATAAAATTAGCTACTCAACGTAAATGCGCTACCCAGGTGCGCTGGCTCATATATCGTGACTAAACGTTTGCCAGTTTTGTCTTAGCTTTTGTGAGGTTTTGTTTGATTTAATTATTAATTCTTGAAAAAAAATCATGCTCTAAAAGCTCTGCAACTAAAACAATTATTCCCATAACCGAAAAACTAACTTTTACAGTGGATTCGCGTTCAAAAAATTACCTTGCCGACTACAGCTCCGGGTGCTTTATTACGAACGAGCGAGCGCAGCGAGCGAAGCGAAGTCTTTTCAATATAAGGGGAAAATCTCAGTATGAGCGGCCCGGCCCGGCCCGGCCCAGCCCGGCTCAGCCCGGCCTGTAACGCTTTTGAGAGGCTTATATCTCAGCAACCGCTGGACCGATTGGCCCGCGGTCTTTTTTGCTGGGTAGCCCCATCCCTTCTACCCCGTAATTGACTACTTTTGATACATCTCAGTGACCGTCGTGGCACGTGCCACGTGAAAAGTCAAGGGTGTTCAAGCTGTTTTGCAAAAGTAGTGATTTTGAGAGGCCCATATCTCAGCAGCCGCTTGGGCGATTGTCTTGCGGTAATTTTTGTAAGATAGCTGCATCCCTTCTACCAATGGTCGGATACTCTCGATGCATGTGGGTCACCCCCAGTGCACGTGCAAAATACAACAATAAGAGGTGTCAAATTTATTCCCATTTTAATAACTCGGTAATTACTGGGGCGATTTCGCTGAAACTTGGCATACAGGTAGGCACCCACCAGGCAATGCATTCCCATGTGTTGCGGTTAGGGTGCTACTGCACGTGCGCACGTGCAGGGGGCGCTTCCAGATCTCGAGAACGGCTGGGCCGATTGCGCTCAAATTTGGTACACGGTTGGGGACCAGTTAGTAGGGTGCCGTGCAAAAGTCAGTTTGGACCCCGTTTGCACGTGCGCACGTGCAGAATGCCGCTTCCAGATCTCAGGAACGGCTGGGTCGATTGCGTTCAAATTTGGTATACTGCTAGCGACCGGTTAGAAGGGTGCTTTGCGCAAGCCCGTTGGAAGTATACCCTCTCGCCCTTCCGCACGTGCAGGGCTCACCATCTCGCTCGCTCGTTCTTCGCCCAAAAGGCGTTTTACTGGTTGTACTCATTTCACAAGTGTGCATGCTACTTGTTATGATAAAAGCTCTTCAGTCGATCACAGGGAATTGCTCTGAACGTTTTATGCATGTTAGTCGGCGATTTGGTACTGCCGTTGCTTCACCCTGTCAGTTTTCACGTACAGTTTATGAGTATCATCGCTATTCTTAACGTGCTCTTCGGCCACTAACACAGTGCTTCAGTTGGAGGTCGGAAAGAGTGAAATACACGTAATTTGATGACTTTCATTAGGCATAGGTAGGTATAGGTATAACATCGAAGATGGTCTGTCTCTATTATAGTTTAACATCAATTCAACCAAAAACTCGTGAAACATATTGAATGTTCAATATTCATTCTATAATATATGTACATACACAGCATTACAAGCATATGACATCACAGTTATCACAGGACAGTTCACCATGACGTTCAGCATTGAGTGGTGCATCATTCACCGTTACTAACTATCACTACCGCTTATGATGATGTGGAGGAGGATACAATGTTTTCCATGAATCACTGCTGATGATAATCTCTTGTGCAGGGCAGTAAACGCACAGTTATGCTCGAGGTAATACACAACAAAATATCCAAATGCTGATCAGTGCAGCAAGGGGTACATGTGTTTGGGTAGCGGCTCCAGCTTTCCCTTCACGTAGTGCTTGCACTGGAGACTGGGGCAGCAGGAGGGGAACTGCTTGTTCCGGTTGCCCCAGGCCTGGCGACAGTAGTAGTTCCCCGACTTGAGCAGGTCGAAATCGACGTTCTTTGCCACAAGCGGACACCTGGAGGAAATGCATGCATGGTTGAGAGCCGAGCTTATGATGTTTGACAAGACGTAATGAGAGCGATAGGGTATCTTGATACAAATTTACAATCAAATAAAACAAAAATATACGCTTCATTGAAATAAGGGCTCATTAGACTGTAGCAACCAGCTATTGGTGTACAAAATGTGCAATGAGTTTTTCCAGTGTTGCGTTCACTTACGAGTATCGCTCGACGTTGAGGACTCCGTCGATGTTGACACAGGTACTGAGTTTACATCTCGAGTAGGCAGAAGACCAGACATCTCCGACGTTGTAGTAGCGGTCGATTTGCGGGTCGTAACAACGGGTGGGACTGCTTGAGTACGCTGGAAAGAGCAAACTCTTGTTACAACGAACGTTTGTCGTCTTTAGATTTTGTTATTGTTATTATTTTTTAAATTAATCTCATCGGATGTATGAGCTCAAAGTACTGGAATAACTAACACCATAGCTATTCTATGATTATTATTTACGCTTGATGGAGTCGTTTTGCAACGTAACCACATGGTTCTGAATTGCGTGAAAACTTACGTGCTGGTAGGCGAATGTAAAGCGCCCCTCTTTGCACCCTGGTGAGATCCACTTGGTCGTCTGCTACCACTGTCCCACTGACCACCAACACCACTGCGAGATAGAACAACATGCTTCCTTTGCGCGCTCGCACCAGAGAAGCAACACGGCACTGTTGTGATCCTTGAACCCTGGCGTTGGTTTTATATACCTGCACTACACTCCCCTCTCATCACCTTCCATCTGGGGATTTACGTCTGGTGTTGAGTGAAGAAGATCGAGATAGCACACAGAGGAATGTCCGGAGCCGAATATTTAAAGCAGTGGATAGTAGATAAGTTGGCGATTTTGCACCACCGTGACACGCATAGAGTGACATACATAGTGCGTGAATGTCCATCTCAGGAGGCCAGCGCTTTATAATTGGCATGACGCTTTTACGCCTCTGTATGGAGGTTAGCGTACGGTTAGATTAGTGACTCAACGAAGGAATATTTTTCCATTGAAGCATTCCATGACAGTCTAAGCATGGTTGTCGGACGCATGACCGAAAGATGAGGGCGCAGCTAAAAAGATATTATCTCTGAAGTCAAACTAGTGCATGGAGAGGGGTGAATCATACGAAGATACTTCAGAACTAGTTAGTCCATAACCATCCAAACTGTGCCCAGGAAACCTGCTGTAATGTTGCCGTACAAAGTAATCCCATTATGACCGATCTGGGTCAACCGTCTGTGCCGATAGCGAGGTCGCCGGAGGCTATCGAGAGGTCACGTGACGGCACGCCCCCTCCAACGAACCGCGGCAAAACCCGTAGCGCCGAGCGGGACTGCTGCTAATGCAGCTAACATATAAGTATGCTTCCATTGATGGATTAATGTGTGCGTAATAACAGTGTAGGTGAATAACGAACAGTTGTCTTCGTGAATCTTTTTCATGTTTGTTATCCTATTCCTGACCTTACAGATGGTCTTAAAAATATGTAAAAAGCAGCATAGGAAGTTACTACGTCATCTGTTAGCTTATTCGATACTCGAGGGCAGCGCTTTTCGAGGAGCGCTGTGGCCCGAAGGTTTGGACTTTGAATTGTGAAAAACGTCCGCCCACCGCAAAACGCAAACACCGCAAAACGCGCAAAACGTACGCCCGAAACGCCAACGCAAAGGTCGCAAAAAAATAAACAAACGCCCGCCCTATTCGATATGTTCAGAAAAGGCACGAGAATGGATTGGTGGGTGTGTTGGGATATTGCGCGCTGTTAAAATATATACCGCTTTGAATGTACGTACGTACATACGGGTAATCTGCATCGTACTTGTATTTGTATTTGTATTTGTATTTATTTTGAAGAGCACTCCACAGCAACAGTGGCTTTTCAAGCTCCGAGTCAGAGAATAGGGTAGATACCAGGTGTGTACAAAACAATCATCCAACCGAAACATACCAAGTCACACACACACACGCACACACACTGAGTCAGACGACCTTACTTCAGTTTAAAGACAGCGTCCGGCTCCGCATCTGTCGCTTCAGGGCTCGTTGGAAGCGTTTCCCTCTGAGGGAAACGGTCTCAGGTGGCAGCTGGTTGTGAAGCCTCGGGGCTCTCGCACAGAAACGCCGTTTCCCCGCCTCGGTTCTTGACCGTGGTACATGGAGATGACTGTCCTGCCTGGTCGTGCGCTCACGTACGTCCGAGTTCGAGCGGAGGACGGCCGCGAGGGAGACTGGCTCGCCACTCGAGAGCAGTTTCTGCGTGAGGCAGAGCGTACTGTACTCAGCGAGTTGCTGAGCCCCCAGCCAGCCCAGGTTCTCCAGCAGGTCACTCGCATGGTCAAATTTTCTCCGGCCGAAAATAACTTTTGCTGCAAAGTTAAGGATTTTTTGGATTCTAGCTGTGTTCTTTTTTGAGCCGTTGCCATAAACTGATATGCAATAGCGAACCTGCGAGAGAACCAGGGCTGTCACAAGAGAGACGAATATGCCCCGGGGCACGACGTGTCGTACCTGTGAGAGACCGATGAGGGTCCCAGTGCAGCGGCGGCTGACGGCACCCACGTGACAGTCCCAGGACATGTTTGAGTCGAAAGTCACACCCAGATTTTTCACCTCGTTACAAGGCACGAGATTTGTGTCACGGAAGGCGACTGTGAAATTTGGTAGTTTGCGCAAATTTTGACGGTTTCCAAGAGCAATGAGTTGAGTTTTGTTCGCGTTGACCTTGAGGGCGTTCGCGCAGAACCAGTTATCCAAAGATGCGAGAGAATTTTCCATTCGAGAGATGAGCGCCGAAAGTTCGCTCTTTTTGCCTGAGACCATCACCTGGGTGTCGTCAGCATACTGCAGAACCTTGGCATCGTTTGCATGGAGTGACAGGTCGTTTGAGAACACCGTAAACAGCAATGGCCCCAGGGCAGAGCCCTGGAACACGCCCATAGAGTTGGGGAGCGGGGGCGAGACACGCTGGGCGCCGGCGCAGTCACGCAGAGTCACGCTCTGAGTGTGACCGCTCAGGTAGGCCGCAAACCATGCAGTGTCGATGCCGTACAAGTGCAGTTTGCTGAGTAGTATATCATGGTCAATGACATCGAAACACTTGCTTAAATCTATTAGGCACAGAAGAGAGATCTCCCCGCTGTCGGCGGCACTAAGGATGTCGTCGGTGACTGTCACCAGCGCGGTTTCCGTCGAATGGTGTGGACGGAAACCGTGCTGGTTGGGAGAGAGGAGGTGGTTTGAGGATAGGTAGTGGTAAAGTTGGTGCTGAACCACCTTTTCCACCACCTTTGAGATGACTGGAATGATTGAGATTGGTCGGAAATTGGATGGGTCGGAAGGGTCACCGGACTTGTGGATAGGGTGGATAAGGGAGTGTTTCCAGGAAGCAGGATAGTCAGACTGGGTCAGGCAGGAGTTGATGATGTGAAGGAGTACGGCGCCGACAGCGGGGAAACTGGCCTTCAGCACCCTGATACAGATATCATCAGCACCGCGGGCGGTCGAGTTGCGCATGCTGAGCAGCGTGCTGGTCAAAGTGTCAATATCGATAGGTGATACAGTAAAACCACACGCCCCCACACGCGGTAAACGGCACGCGACGGGTCGAGCAGCACCCCGGTCCCGGTCCGCCACCTCGGCGGCCACTCGCGGTCCGACAGAGACGAAGAAGTGGTTCAGCTCCTCGCTGGGTAGCTGAGGTAGCACCGGTGTGCCAGAGCGCTTGCCAGCCACAACCCCCCGCACGCTCCGCCAGGCGGCCCGCGGCCCGCGCTCCCTGATACCCTCCTCGATACTCTGTCGGGTATCACGGCGGATGGCAGCTCGCACGGCACGGTTAAGCTGGCGGTACTCGGGCGCGCTCCGTCCACCCGCGCGCAGGGCGGCGCGGCGGCGACACATCAGGTCTCGTGTAGCAGCCGAGATGGGAGGGGCAGTCGGGTTACGGACCCGAACCGACCGCATCGGCGCGTGCTTGTCGAGTACGGGCATAAAAATCGACAAAAAGACATTCCACTTCTCAGACACGGTCGGTAAACTAAACACTCTACTCCAATCAGCACGGTACAGGTCGAGAAGGAAGTCATCATGGTTAAGACGTTTAAGACAGCGCGAATGAGTGATGACAGGCCTGCGGCGAGCACGGGGCACGGCAGCATGTAAACGAACTATGTGGTGCGGACTAAAATCACAGAAAGTCACCCGACAGTCAGAAACTATGCTGGGACTAGTCACCATACATACGTCGAGAAGTGAACCAGAGGTAAAAGTTGGCGATTTCACAAGTTGACACATCGAGTAATCAGATAAAAATTCTTCCAGACGGACACGGGCCGGCGCTGGGGCGCTCTTTAAAAGGTCACAGTTCAGGTCACCACAGATAATAAGTGTCAGTGCCGGGTATCGGAGCACCGCACTCTGTACCTGGGCCTCGAGGTCTCCAAAGTCGGCGTCCAGCGCCGCCGCCGTGTAGCGCGGCGGTCGGTAAATGCTGCACAGCACCAGCTGGCGCCCGTGGTCCAACTTCAGCAGCGACCAGATAGTTTCCAGTCGGCTGTCCGGCGGGTGCTGGGCGGTCGGTTTGAAGGGTGCCACAGTCAGGTCGTCCCTGGCAACGACCGCCACGCCACCGTAACCACGGCCGTCAGGACGGTCCACGCGATAAATGGCGTAGCCCGGGATGACCAGTAGTCGGCTGGGCACGGACGGTCGGAGCCAGGATTCCGTCAGTAGCATGACGTCATACTTGTGACGGTGTAGCAGGTCCGACAGTTCTAAAAGCTTGGGTCGAATCGACTGGATGTTTAGCGAGCCGATCAGTAGACCAGGGCTCGCCGGCGTAGTCCGCGGGCGGCGCCCAGCTCTCCGTCCGCGCGCCCCGCGCCGCTGCGGTCTCCGGCCACCGCTACGCCGCGGCCGCCCCCGGCCCCGGTCCCCGTCAGCCGGTCGCAGCCCCGGGCCAGGCTGGGGTGGCAGGATCCCCGCAGCGGGGAGGGGCAGTCTCGCAGCAGGTCGCTCGGCGGGCTGAGTCACGCCGCCGTAGGTCACGGCGGCTCCGGCCGCCGGGAGGTCACCGGCCGGCCGGACGCTCAGCTGACCGCGGCCGGCCCGAGGCGGAGTGGGGTGACCAGGCTCGGTCACCGCCTCGCTGAGTCGGGAGTGCCGGGCCGCCGCGAGCGGACCGGGCGCTCTCGGAGCCGGGACCCGTCTCAGGGTGATGTGTTGTCGCAGCGTCCGATCGAGCTCTCGACGAGGTGGTAGTTCTGCAGGTGACGGTGCAGGTGCTGGAACGCAGGCGAGTGCGAGCGCACGCACTATCGCGAGCAGCACCAGCAGTCGGGTGATGTCTCGGTGCATGGTGTCGACTTGCACCAATGAACAGTCGCAACGCGCGACGCAATGAAATACACGCTCGCTGGGATGGTGTGTGCCCGGTAACGTCCGATAATGCGAGCTTTAGGAGCGCAACAGGCTCAAAAGAGGCAATTTGTGCAATTTTATGTATCTTTCTACATAAATATATCCGTCATTTTCTACACTGTTTGCTACGAACCAGGATTCCGGCGCCATAC